GGTAGATCTACATTGGCAGGATTTATAAAACGGATCTTGCACCCTTCAGTCATGCTCTTTGCGTTCAACAATGTGCACAACCAAACCGAAAGTTAATAAACATACCTAATGTTTACAGAGGTACGGTACAACCAAGGACAACAGTCATCAGAATTACACATTCCACACTCATATAATCTCTTTGTGCACATTCCCTCTTTTTCTGTCATTCTCTCTCTCTATTACTATATATTGCAACCTCACATATCACCAGTCTAAAAGAAAGGGACCCATTTATTTAAAGGGCAAAAAAATCTTGTCTAAGGATAATTTCAATTTAAAAATGCAGCACAAATTTTATTTAAGTCAAAATTTTCAGGGAAAACTCTTGTCATCTGTGCATCAATTTCAATATAAAACTTTGCTTAAAATTTAACGGAAGGGATGTCAAATAATTTGTCAGTATGAAGGCAGAAAAGAAAAGAAAAAACGAAGTTGAGAATAAAAGTATTTTAAAATTTCAATCAAAGTTCAAACCTTGGTAAAAAGCTAAACTTTACACCTCTTAAATCAACCATAATAAAAAAAATGTGTACGAAGATGTAGGCCTACATTAAATACAGTGTACATGATTTATCCAAAACTGATACATGTAGTGTTGTAGACGGGATGTCTAAAAATAGGAGGACCCATTCAAAGTCACTGTTTCCCTTTAGGGGGTTTTCGGGTTTTTTTGTTTGTTTGTTTTAAAGACATGAGTATAACAGGAAATAACCCGTATACAATTGAATGGTTTAAGATGAAACAAGATGACTCAATGTTGGACAGAGGGTCCAAAGAATCTACCCAGAAACATGCCATTTCAAGCTGCGTATTCGAGCTTGAGACAAAAAATGGTCAACTACTGGACAGCCCCCCTTTCCCTGAGATTATTTGACTCTATGTCAGTTTTGAATAAATTCACTTTAGGGCACAAATTCACATTCGTTATGGTTGATCAAACAATTTCGGACACAGGCATGAAGAAGGAATGATTACAAATTTTATGAAAATGCAAGATTAAGATGAAACTCTATATATATACAATTATGTTGTGTAATGTAAACCCCTCTAGCCCTCTCTTGTGAAATTCCATCTCACAAATGAAAACCCCAGAAAAGGAGGAAGATGGACAGAAGTGACAAAATTGTGTTTATAGAACTGCATGGTAAATCATTGAACATGTTTTTTATGTTTGCTCAATGTTTACATTTAAAACCAACAGACACATTGCTTGCAAGCATTGGACTGTTTTTAAATTTTTTAGTGAAGTCTAGATTTATTAACTGTAAACTTAATAATTTATTTAATGTCAGATCAAATCAAGTGTGACTGAGGAGAATAAAAACATTAACAAATAAATCACAAACAATGTAACAAAAATAATAATTCAGATATATATTGCAGGGAACAAAATAGCAACTGAAGGAATTTTGAAAGTAAATCACTTTCACTTTCATACAATATTAACAGTATTACAATAACCAACAATTTAGATTCATGTATGTTGAAATTACCCATTGAGTTGTTTGGGGTTGAAGGTATTGAAAAGAAACACAACACAGTATTCAATTTACTTTTTTTTGATAATTGAAATTAGCATTTCTTTTTCTTTTTAGACAAACTCAAACACCAGTGCGCACAAACACACACTGTAATAAAATGCAAGTTTATTTATGCACAATTACACGCCCCCCCCCCCCCCCCCCCCCTCCTTTTTTTAGACTACACTGACATTTTCTTCATTTTTTGTCTGTAGCCATGAATAATTCACTGATATAGTGTATAGCAGATTAAGGCTTCTTTGCAGTTGCTTAAATTAATCATCAGTTAAAATAAATAAATACAATGCATATTGCACTAAAAGAACATACTTTTAGCCACTAAAAATCCCAAACTGTGTCAACATTTTTTTAAATCCAAAAAATCCTATTTAAATTTTAAAAATCTGTTAAATTTTAAAAATCTATTTTCTTATTTTCAAAATGCAAGCATAAGTGACTGTTTTCCATTTTTTTGTGTGAAGTCCTCTCATTTGGCTTTGCATTTGCTTTTTTCTTTCATTTTCTGTGACAGCTTGATATAACTCCTATCTGATTTTCATTCATTCTTTTTGTTCTTTCATTTCACCATCCGCAGCTCAATTTTTCCTTTTTCATTCTGGAGAAAAGCATTTACCCGCTCCATCCTACTGTGGAGACTTTCTAAAGATTTTATTTTATCTGGCAGCATTCAGTGCATTCAATTACCAGCTTTGGACATGTCTTAATATTTGCGTTAACAATATCAGGGGGGTTGTTAGTTATGTTTTCGAAGTAGCGGCCTGTTCGTCAATTGTGTTTGTGTTCATAAAAATTTTCTTTGATAAAAGCTCCTGAACAGTTGGAGTTGTACTATTTTTCTTTTTTGTGTCCTTTAGCAAATTATGGTTGTATTCAATAAACAAAAGATCTGAGTTTTGCAACTATGATGCAGACATTGCAAATTAATTTGACCCACACAGGTACAAAAAACTAACCTCATTAAATCTATCTGCCTCTCTTTGGACAAATAATGAATGAGATCTATAACATTTTCGTAAGTCAAGCTTTCATTTCCAACTTAATTAAACAAGTACAAGGGGTTAAAAATATTCATTGTTCAGTCAATGCCACAAGCATCCAGGAAAAAAGACACAGTTCACTTTCAGTGGCCTCAGCAAAAATCCACACAGAATGTCACTTTCCAGAGTCAGTGTTTTCTGCACCACATTCACACTTCCTGACCACACAAATGGTGTCAAAGATGAGTTTTGAAAAAAGTTTCTGAAACCACTCCTTTTCATTTTCCCTTGTTCTCCAACTAAATGACGCATTACGAAAATCTTGTTGGTAGCAGGAACATCCAGAGGGTCTGGCTTCCTCTCTTTTCCAAGATGAATCATTGTGGCACACAGACCACTGTACATTTCTGCATCTGTGGATTAAATTCATAAACAAAAAAGTTTAAATAAATTCTGAAGCACACTGGCCATTGTAAGTTTTTGCTTCTGTGGATCAAAATCACATGATATGGAACATTTAAATTTTAATTCTGAAACAATGAGGGGTATTACAATTTCTAGATAGAAATATTTAAAACTAATTTTTCTGCAACTGTAACCTTTATCAAGCATCTTAGGGCTAAAAGTTCTGAGTAAAAATAAGTTGTGAAATAATGACAATGACGTGATTAATGTGAAGAATTACTTTTATACCAATATATTCTAAAACTGTACACTGGAAATCTAGCACAGATTGTATCTCATTCCCTAACATGCTGTGAGTAAAAAACACCAACATTTTTTTTCAGTCTTAGAAACCACCGATAAAGATTTGAAAGTCAATCCCAGCTTCCTCTTCTCTGCAAATATGCTTTGAGATCTACAATTATTTGCATGATAGGGTGAAATCAAATATTTTGAAATGCTAAAAAAAAAGCTAATTTACAGCAAAAATTGAATGACACAGTGGGTTGGAAAATAATATCTAAACTCTATCCAATTACCTACAAGTACTACGAGAGAACTTACCTATTGGTTTCCAAATTGCACTCCAGTAGTCATTTTGTGTGTTGCAGTGTCCGAAGAGGCAGCATCCCCACCAATGCTTGTCCCGTCTATCTTGTCAAAATCCACCCTGTAATGTAAATCAGGAAAAGAAATTCAGTCAAAACTGTTGGGAAGAAATACATTACTGGGTATGTATGTATATATAATATATGTGAACATTAAATGCTCGTACTATTATAGTACGGCCAAACATTCGTAGTGCAACTTATTGTCAAATTTACCTTAATACCAAACATAGACTCTCCAACTTTTGCACAATGACTTGTATCAATAGTTTTTCTTAACAGATCAATATTTTTGTACACACACCTGTTACTTGTATTCTAGAAAATTCCTAAAATAATATATGTGAGGCAGCGTGGTGGAATCAGGCTCTCATCAATTTTTGGGCATGTAGAGTTATTGGTATTATCTTAAAGCTTGTTCACTTGTCTTTATTTGGATGAAAAAAATATCCATTTATCTTGAATACAAGTCGAGATATTAGCGAAAGAAGGAGGTGGGGGTCACCTGTTTTCAGAAGTAAAATTAGAGAGAAAATGGCCGCCAAAGATTAGTTTTCCTTAGTTAAGAGTCCGTGGTAACTGAAAATTTACATTCTTTGTGCTTTTAATCAACGCTTTTCAGAAAAATCCACTCAGAAATGAGTTCTTTAAAGGGCATGAAAGGTGTTGAGCCAAAAAACAAAAATTTTTAAAAATTCACAAACCTGCGAAAAAATGCAAGTTTCTTCACTTTGATTATTTTGACGAGAGCCTGATTCCACAACGCTGCCTCCCATTAATTGAAATATCAAGTGGGTGGTTTTTACAGATTCTAAAAGGTTTATAGCTGGGGCAATATTGCTTTTAAAAGCTAGTCTGTCATCTTTTTCTAATCGTGACATTATATGCTTATTCTGCTGCACTTGTTCTGCAAAAAATGTGTTCACTATAAAATTAATTTCTTATAAAAAGTTTTGCCTTTGGAAAGCTGTGATGTTGGCCATAATTTATACGTATACAAAATGTGTATGATCGCGGGAAGAGCTGTGAACTAGACTTTCCATCTTCCAAGTGGCACAGGTTTAGATCTATAGTATTTTATATAAATTTATGAAGCAAAGTTTTTAAAAATCTTGCCTCAAATGTTGAGGAAAAATATAAATATTAAGTTAAAAACAAAATTGATACAAATTGCGGAACAAAGTTACATAGTATGGGTGACACAGATTCACCTGTTAAAGAGATATATAAATCATACATTTACATTTCACTTTCTACAGGAAAAAATACTTAGTCAATTAAGTAAAAAAGCAACTAAATTAGGAAGTTTGGGTTGATATTTGTCGTTGCTTTGTTATTTGTTGTTATCTTGACAAAGATAAATATCGAAAGTAAGGGTGGCCATTTTGTTTCTCGATTGAAAATCAGTTGGGGGAAGTCCCCTATTTTCAACAGAGCGCAAAAACAACATCTATTTCTCCTTCAGTTACTATAATCAGATGAACATCATAACTTCACAAAATTAAATTAAAGCCTTGCGGAACTGAACAGACCTTTCGGCTTCAGGGCAGCATCCGTGGTAAGCCTTAAGATTAGGCAGTTTGATTTTTTAAAAAAGAAATTAGTCTGAGTCTAGAATTACATCTCACTCTCAGGTGATAGAGGGTGCTGTACGTAACTTGCACTAAACCTTTTAAATTTCGAAAATATTTTGCCGCCAGTTTGTTGGCGGTACAACAGGGTAAATTTACAGTAGTTTAATATGGATCGTTTAATAAATGAGACAGTTGGCGGATGGCAGATGGGGGTGTAAAGGCTTAAATACTATGTTTTTAGTTTTAATAAGAGTTTTACGGCACTTGCAACACAATAAGGTCATCATAAAGGAGGAGGAGAGATCAAGGATGATAGATGTTTGATAGGTAAGAAGTTCAGAAGCAAACCACACCAGAGCACCTGCCAACCACCCACAAATACTATGTTTATAATTATAATAAGGATAGTCTTGTCATAAATTGGCAAAACCCGGCGGTAAGTGGGGCTGGCAAAATATCCAGGTTCAACTGTGTATAATATGTACGTGTGTATGTTCTTACCGTAGAGTCGACTGCTTCACTAATTATAAGAGAATAAATTGGACCTCAGTCAGGCTGTCTCAGTCTGTGTATCCACAGGAATAAGGAATCTGGAAGAGAATTAGATCTAGATCTTGTCAAAATGAATGATGTGTAGAATAATAAATAATAATACGGATAGCAGAAAGGACCTAGACATTATGCAAAACTAAATAATACTCAATATAATATATATAACATACTTCTTACTGACTTCTAGGCGTACTTCTTGCTGGTCAACAAGGTCAAAGAACTGAACATCAAGCTGTTTTCACTGATTGACGCACAAGTCAAACAGGAAAGCGATCGATGATTAAAAAAATGAAGTGAGCCGTTGGAGGCTATTCGGATTCAAATTCCAGTGCGCGTGCGCAATCACCGGTTACTTGTACCGTAAGCAAAGTCTACTAGATCTATACTCGAGTCCGAATAGTCTCCCGTTGCTATTCGGACTTTTAAACTACTGGTAGGCTATTTAACATTGCGTTTCACGACTACAAAGGGATCAAAACATAAAATTCATAATCAGTCCTAAATAAGACAGCCCCCTCCTCCCCTTTCTCTCTCTCTTTCCTTTACTTTTTCCCTCTCCATCTTGCTTTCCCAGGCCCGCCATCGTAGAAATCGAGGAAGGACAAGGTCGAATTGCTTGTCTGCTTCACATCCAGTACACCTAGATCTAGTGATTGCGCACAAGCATTGGAGTTTGAGTCCAAATAGCTTCACGTGATCTTAGGCCTACGGTATCTTAATATCTAGAAGATTTCTAAATCTAGATCTAGATCATTCTAGACTTCTAGATCCTAGTCCAGTCTAGCTTAGGCTACTTACCATAGAGTTGACTGCTTCACTGCTCATTAAAATGGGGGGGGGGGGGGGGGGATTGGACATCAATGAGGATCAGGTTGTCTCTGTACACTGTGCATCTGCCAACATGAATAGAGAATCTGAAAGAGAATGAATAAAAAATAGTTTTGCTTTAAAAAATAATCTAAATTTTATTAACTTCACTTTGACTGATGTCAAAGTCAAAGTAAAAGATGAAGATATATAGAGATCTAGAATAAATTTATAGAATCTATATCGAATAGTGATTTTAAAAAACACAGCAGAGAGAGAGAGAGAGGTCCTAGACACTGTGATACTGATAGACCTGCAATGAGAACAATGTTAGGCAACAGAAATAATCTGTTGGAGAGAGAAGAAGTTGAAGCACGGGAATTTCCGACGAGATGAAAAAAAAACCCAAAAGGGAGATCAGGGCACCAAAAAATTGGGACTAGAATCTAGATGACTATATAATCCCTCTAGAGATTATCATTTAGATATCTAGGGCCTATTATGATTCTTCAGACCATAAATCTAGCCATAGATCTAGATTCTAGACTAGCTAGATTCTAGATCTATATTCTAGATCTAGATATAGATCTATTATCTAATCAAAATCCAGATTTCTACTGAATAGCCATATATCGTAATAATATACTCTACTCTTCGCCACTCTCGAAAATTGATAAAATGACAATGAAACTTCACACACTTCTGTGCAGTGTGCACACATAAAAGGCACGTATTTTCAAAAAAATAAACGACAAATCAAAGGAAAAAGCAAAAATGTAAAGTAGGAACGTACCTTGAACCTCAACTCGATACTGCTCACAAACCCGACGTCTGCCGGTCACGCAAACAATTCAAACATTCATAAATCTTGATCTATCTCTACGACTCCGATCTGGAACTCTGGAACTCCGCGCCTTTTAAAAATGGATTGGATTGACCGGATATGACGCAAAAA